GGTGGGAATTCCTAGAGGGGTCTTAAGGTTAATCTGTAACTTTTACAATTATGGTAAACAAGCCTTGGGGAGGGGTTTTGCACCTCGGTAAACTGTCTGTTTCCTCTCTTAGTCTGTTTGGTCAGGGCAGCCTATGGGGTAATCATTTGCCCTGGGGGGTCTCATGACTGAGGAGTGGAAAAGTTAACAGAGTGTCCTCTGCAGGGAGAATGGAGTCAGTTTGGTTCACAGGCCTAGCCTTACTCTGTTTCACAACCAGAACTGTCTGGCATTGAAGCTCAGGCTCCCAGGCCCTGGGGGGAGATGACAGCATTGGGGCCTGAGGACACTGAACCTGGCATTCTCCAGGGAACGGAGTTACTTCCCCAGCCTGATAGAAGTTAAATTAGATTCATAACATCTCAGAGTTCTACCTGGTCTTGGGGGGAGCTCCATTCTGTCCTGAGGGGTGCCCCAGCAGGAGAGATGCCCCAGACTGTTCTAGAGTCTCCAGCCCCATGGGTTTGGATATATAGGGTTAAAGAAATATCCATCTCATTGATGAAATTATAGCAAATGGGAAGAAACCCGTAGAACAATGTCACAGGTATCTGCCTTTCTTCAACACGTTTCCCCCAAGGCATTGTCCCCGTAGGGGGCGCCAGTTCAGTAGGGATCCCCAGGCCACATGCTCCTCTCCTAACCCAAACATTTCCCGTTGTACCCTATAGGAGCTCGAGTTTCTGAGTTAAGCCACATGCATTCTGGGCATTCCTGTTCTACCCTGTAGGAGCTAAAGGTTCTGAATCCAGCCCAATGGGAAGCCCTGGATGGGGTGGGGCAAATGGGGCCAGTCCTGCCCACAGCCCAAATATGACCCAGTGAGTGCAGGTCTAACACTCAGCAGTCCTCCCAGGTCAAAGGTACCACGGTGCTGTGCGATGATGCCAAATAAAACGGGCTCCCACCGGGGTCCGGAGGCTGAGTTCTAATCCCAGATGCTACTAATGTGATATAAGATCCTGCGACAACCCTGGTCTTGCTGGGTTGTCATTTCCTTCCCTGTCCTCTTTATACTGATGGCCGCCTCGATTGTTTCATGGAGTAAAATGAGAAATTGCATGTGATGGCGTTTTTGGGAAAACTGTCTAAGAGATACAAATACTTATGACATTGTCCCAAGAGTTCCCTCCGCTTTGCTACTATGTCATCAAGAAAACGATGGATGCTAAGTTACACAATCTTTCAGTCCCCAGATCTTATAAAGCTTGGATTTGGCATAAGTGAAAATTGACTGTATGCAACTCTGCTAAGACCTTAAGTTACACAAGGACTTTCCAGTGAAAAACAGTGATTTGAAGCAGAAACAAATAGGAGAAAATGCTAATATGGTATTTGTCAGTTCTGGATGGTGAGCCCAAGGGTGTTTGTCATATCACTCTCTGGAATTTTGTGTGATTTAAATCTAAGAGAAACATTAAGCCATGCTTTACATTTGCAATCTCTTGAGCATTATCTGTAAGCAAAATCCACTGGTACTTTTTTCTCTTTCAAAAGAAATAGATAGTGGCGCCCCCTCTACCATCACCCCACCCGAATTAGCCAATTTTGTCTACTTTAAAGACCTGTTGGACCTGGACACTACCCATCCACTTTCCTCTGTCACTTTTATTAACATTGAAAGATATATTTCTTATGTCTTCTTATCAACACCAGCAGCTTCAGCATTCAGTTTGCAATGCAGAAGACAGCATGAATTTAAGTAGTCAGAGGCCACATACTTTGTGTGAATATCACTGTGCTTTTCTGTGTTTGTACAGACTGCTACTTTAGCTTAACTCCTCTTTAGTCT